TTTACGTGACAAATCTTGGTAAAAAGACTCTCGATTTTAACTTTCTAATAATGGTTTGTATCTGTATAGATATTCGGAAATCAGTTTTTAAATAATCTCCATGATTCTGTTTCACATTGGGATGCACCACTCTTCTTAGAAAACGGCAAAGTCTAACTAACATTTTTTCTTTAAATAAAATAGTACATATTTTAAAACGTGAAAAAAAGGAAAATAATAAACAGATCCCCTAGAAACAGAGATCTATTTTATTATTTTTATAATATTTTTGTAGTCGATGAAATTATGTTATATTATATTTTAAAATGCTACAAAAAATATTACCGGAAATTTTGAGTATCCTACTTAGACGAAATTACACTGAATATTTTTCTGTTTCCCTTAATATCTCCGAAATGAAGAAATTTATTTTACCTCAGCAAACTGGGGTTGTTAGGTCCCTCGAATTGCTTCAAATTGCAATTAGACCTGTTAGTTCAAATCGTCCCTCGAATTGCTTCAAATTGAAGTTGGACCTGTTAGTTCAAATCGTTTTGTATAGATGGCGTGGCGATACTAAAATTTTTTTTAATCCCTGGAACGTGGAAATGCAGTCCATCTGAAAGATCGTCAAATTTTGAGTAATTTTTTTAATATAAAATTTTTCCCTATATTTACTTGTTTTCGAGATATATTGACTTCAATATACAATGTATGATGTAACAGGAAAATCCATTATTTATTTTTATTTAAATCACATTGAGACAAAATATTCTTTTAAAATATTGATATAATGGCTTTATTCACACCACATACTAACTAACAAACAATAAATTATAAAAAAAAACGAATGATCAACTACAGACAAAAATTGTACAATGGCAAATCTTATAAGGGGCAGAGACGAACCGTATTTTATCAAACGTTATTAAAAAATGCAGTCATAGGTGGCTCATGCCAATAAAACATGTATAACAGATGACATATTAGTTTTCAGCTTTATCAGCTTGCGTCTTTCAATTAGACTATACTAGTTATAAGATTTACCATTGTACATTTTTTTTTTTCAATAATTGATCATTTGTTTTTTACAATTTCTCGTTTGTTAGTATGTGGTGTGAATAAAGTCATTATAACAATATTTTAAAAGAATATTTTGTAGCGGTATGATTTAGATAAAATAATAGATTTTGCTGTTACATCATACATATTGCATATTGAAGTCAACATGTCTCGAAAACAAGTAAATACTGGGAAAAACTTTATATTACAAAAATTACTCAAAATTTAACTATCTTTCAGATGGACTGCATTTCCACCTTCCAGGGATAAAAAATTTTTTTAGTATCGCCACGCCATCTATACAGAAAGATTTGAACTAACAGGTCTAACTGCAATTTGAAGCAATTCGGAGGACCTAACAACCCCGGTTTGCGGAACTAAAATGAATTTCTTCATTTCGGAGATATTGGCAGCGGGACTGTTAAACTGGTACACCCTGTATGTACAGTCTGTCCAAGATAAGGGTGGGATAGCATTAGGATCTAGGAAACGGTAAGAGATACGGGGTGGTTTAAATAAGAAAAAGTTGTATTTTTTTATACTTAACAATATGTCGTTTAGAAAGTTTTAAAATTACGGGTAGTTCCGGAGATATCCGGAAAAACCAAAATTTTGCAAAATTAAAATAAATTGCATATTTACATTGCCACTTTTTTCGCTCTATCCAATGGCGTCAACATTTTTACAATCCGACGTTTCGTCTTCGATGTGCCATCATCAGGTAAATTTTTTTAAATACGTCGCTGCTATTTTTATGACAAAATCTAGTAATTTTTAATTCTGAATTAGATGATACTATTGTAATCGCTTAAAAAGGTTTTTAACTTGTTTTAGCTATCATTTAAAATTTTTCCTGAGTACGGCTCTGAACACTTTCAAAATATCTATTGGAGGAAGTCATAACAGTATAAAAGCCAAAACAGCACAAAATATCCAAAAATTTAAAAAACTTGTACCTAATAAAACGAATTTATGAAATGTTTTATTATTTCTAATTAGTATTTCTAATAGTCGTAAAAAAATAATAAAAGTTAAGTCCGTCGACAAAACAATTAATATCGCGAATAAAAAAATATTTCATATATTGTTTTATTTAAATTTAAATTTCAATCGTCCTACCCGTTACATACTAAAACTGTCGTTTTTTTATTCTAGATTTCTCTTACAAACAATCAATCAATTCGATGTCAGTATAGTTTAAACTAACAATAACAAAATAAATATTTTATGTTTGCGGAACTGAGGCACTGACAAATTCATTATATTTTGTAAAAGCGCAGCAATTTGTGAATTAAAATAGGATGTGTTTTTACATTTTACCTCAAATTTGTAGATTAGAGCATGGTCAGTGGCGTTAGCTATTTTTTATTGTAAATACGCGTTCCCGCAAAATGGATTTACGCGAATAAATATTGTAGTGAGCTAGTAGAGTATTTTTAAATCAACAGATGAAATGACAGTATAAAATGTGGAAAAATATATTCAAATTTACAACAATATTATTATATTAGTAGGAGTCGTACTGGAACCATACACATAAGTATGAATTTCTGTGACTAATGTCCTTCCATTTCCAAAAGCAAGTAACCCTTCAGAATTTAACCACCTGCGTACAATATCAACTCTTCCTATATTTCCTTCTGGACAACATTTTCAACGCTATGGACAATAAAGCCACTATACTTTTTTTATTGGATTACACTAAAGTTTTGTCATTAGTAGATTCTTTTCTTTCTGGTAGACTTGACGATGATATTTCAGAATAATTAGCACTGTCATCTAGAGTACCACAGGGCAGCATATTAGGTCCACTACGGCATTCTATTTACACTTCATATCTTATGAAGTCTTTGGCGAATTGCAATTATCACATGAATGTAGTTGATACGCAAAACTGTTCCTTTAAACCTTCTGATGTATTTGACGCTAATATAAATCTTAATACTGACAATATGGCCTCCTGATCAAAAAGGCATGCTTTAAAAATAGCGCAAACAAATCCGTTGCTATTCTATTGCTATTTCTGTAGTACGAAGAACAGTTTCTTTCTTATAAAGTATACAGGGTGTTAGATCTTGATAGTTTGCAAAAATAAGAAAATTCGTGTATGAGATTTATGTTTGGAATTAGGTTTAATCAAAGAATTTCTTACAAATTGCAAGAAATATGCTAACTCAATGTATATCATACATTTAAACTGTTTTTCCTACAAAACTTTAACAAAGTTTAAGTCTACTTATTTATTTGTAACATAAAATTGAATATAGCACAAATATTCATAACTTGAATATTTGCAGAAAACAAATTTTGATATGCCTTTTCATCATAAAGAAATTTTTAAATAATCGTTTTCTTATAATATAGCTTCTTGCATACATAATTTGCATGTTGCCGATCTCTCCCTGTTCTGTAACGTTCTTAAAAAAAATTAAAACTAAACCTTTTTCTGTAGGAGGGATCTCATGGTAGTCATAATATGTACTCTTTCTTTTCATTCAAGTATACTTTTTTCTTTTATTTATTTTGCGACTGTGATCATTATAATATTCTCTTGATTCATTATTTTAATTCTAATAGCCATTATAATTTTTTTCTCACATCAGTAAGCTGAAATTTTACCTTTAGTCCAGTCATTATAGTCATGACACAACCTGTTTCGGGAAAAAAATACTATTAGAAGTTTCTCTGCGGAATATTGTTCGGAAACGTGTTATAAACAAAATATCAAAAACTCGAGGCTAGTTGGGAAACTTTGTTTAAACAGTGATTAAAGTTATGGAAAAGTGGTTTTTTGACTCGCGTTAAAAAACTATTATTAATAGCGAAAAAAAGTTTATACAAAAAAGGTAGGTATTAAATAAGCCTATAAAATGAGACAAGTCCGATTCAATTCCGATAATTTGTTTATGGCAAGAGCTCAAAAATGGTCGAAAATGGCCGTTTTTTTCAATTGCTAATAATTAATGCAATTTTCATCGCAGATATTTGTAATTAAGGATTTTTGAGGCTTTTTGCACCCTTAATAAGTGGTAAAAATTTCAACCCGAAACCCTTAATTGATTAATATTAAGAGCCGAAATTTGGAGAGAGTATACATTAAGGGCTATATTTTCATGTCCTACATTAACATTAAGGTGAATTCAACTATTTAATTGCAAAAAAGAAGATAGCGGCGATGCGTTCTATTACTCGGTCTAGCGAACGCGTGGGGAGAGAACAAATTCCGCCAATGCCAAACTAATGAAGCTTTCGGGCTGAAATTTTTACCACTTAAGGGTGCAAAGACCTTCAAAAATCCTGAATTGCAAGTGTCTGCGATGAAAATTGCATTAATTATTAGCAATTGAAAAAAACGGCAATTTGCGACAATTTTTGAGTTCTTGCGCATAAACAAATTATCGGAATTTAATCGGACTTGTCTTATTTTACAGATTTATCTAATACCTACCTTTTTTGTATAAACCTTTTTTCTCTATGAATAATAGTTTTTTTACGCGAGTCAAAAAAACACTTTTCCATAACTTTGACCATTGTTTTAACAAAGTTTCCCAACTAGTCTCGAGTTGATTTTTTGATATTTTGTTTATAACACGTTTCTGAATAATATTCCACAAAAAAACTTATAATAGTATTTTTTTCCCCGAAGAAAGGCTATAATGACTGGCCTACTTTCATTTTCCAAAAATTATAAAGAGCGCTCTACAATCTCTATGACAAACAAAGGATCATTTTCATTTATCAGGCTACTTTCATTGAAATATCAAATTATATGTTTTAATATGCTTGTAACTCCTAAACAAAAACGAATCGGACCTATGTTCGTATAAGAAAAAATGTTTGAAATTAACCCTGCTGTCATCTGTCAAAGTTGCTTGTAGAACACCCTGTATTATAAAACACGGACACGAAACAAAGTTGTGGCGACATTCCTGAACTAAAAAGGGGATCCAATCACTCACCTTCCCGAAGCTTCCCTTGCCGAGCACCTTGAGGAAATTGAAGTCGTCCAGGCAGTACTTGCGGAACCTGGGGATCGTGGTGGCGGGCGGGGTGATCCTGCCGCTCTTCTGGAAGCTCGAGTAAGTGCTGGACTGGGAATACTCCTCGGGGATGTCGTCCGAGTCAAGGGCGAAGGCCGGGTTGTTGGCGTGATTCGTGGTGGGCGAGTCCCTGCTCTCCAGCGATCCTGAGGGACGAATAAATGTCATATTTTAGTGAGACGAGCTTCAATCGGAACGGGGAAGTTTCGATACAAAGCGAAAGCGATATGGTAATGCGTGGGTCTGCAAGTGCCGAGGGTGACATTGAGCCGTAATAGGTCACGCGACAGGTGAAACTTATTGGATGGTAAACTGTAGTTTGATAAATATAGGGTGTCAAGGAAATTGTGCGGTAAATTTTAAATATTAAATCAGTGATTTTGTGACAAAAATACTAGCAACAAACGGACTGTGCCCTCATATAAAAGACAGGCTGTAGATATGCTTATATGAATCCCACTTCAATTTACCATTAATTTTTTATAAACATTTTTATGCAAAAAAACACATTTTTTTTTGTATTTGTTTATAAAACCTAAACTAATGAAGCAATATGAATGCTATAAGGAGATAATTTGTAGAGAATCGAAATACGAATAAACCGAGAGCTCGTTTGATCCGATCGGCTAATTAGGAACGAAGAAAACTGGGAAAAATCGGATAATTTAGCGTTTTTTTTTAAATTAATTACTCCACCATTTTTTTAAGTTGTAGAGCTGGCCCTGTGCACAAAAAGAGTGAATTGTATGTACTTTAAGTGTGCACAAGGCATGAGCTGTTGGATCATTAGTTTTGGCATAATTGCAACTTGAATTTTTTGCAAAATCTCTGGATGCGTTGAAGGTGGTCTGATTTTAATTTTTCAGTCGGATTTTAAAAGTAGAAGTATAATACTACAAAACATTTATTCAAATGTTCCGATAAAATGATGCGAAATAGGTGAAAAATTCCTCCAAACATGCTCAAAAAACGGCCGAGCGCGCTTACGCGGTCGAGTAGTGGGGAAAGATCGTGAGATGAGGGGCAGTGGATATACAGTGTAGGAAAGTACCGATGGTCTATCAGAAATTTCGTGAGAGCGATAAAGTAAGCCATAGAAATCCATGTGATAGACAAGGATGGCTATAATGAAGGCGTCTAATAGTCAACGCCCATTTCGCCCCCACAAATAAGAAGTGGATCTTATCTATAACTAGACCCCTAAGCTTTCCATGCATACTTTCAAAGTGGCTTAATTGCATACAGGGTGCTAGAAATTTAATGCCGAGGTTACTTAATCTTAAACCTTCTTAAGTCGTTTTTTTAATGGAACACCTTGTATGTTCTTCCATATTCTGATACACAATTTTATTCTCTTTCGAACGGTATCATGGTTTCCTATACCTATCTCTTCTAGTTTTTGAGTTATCTACTATTTTTTGTGTAATCACCTAAAATCATGTAATTTCTTGCGAGGATAGTTGTGGAATTTTTAGCAACATTTCAAAACAAACAACTAAACTGTCAATTTGTTGTTAGTCTCTTGCAGTGACAGTTTAATTTAGTGTTTTTAAGAATTGGAAAACAATACATATTCAAATTCTGATATTTTAAATTTATTATTCATTCACGGACGTTACTATGAGATGATAAGCAGAACATGTACAGTTTTTAATAAGACATATTTATTCAAATTTGCCACCAATGAGCAGAAAAAAGTTAAGAATAATTTTAGAAAATCAACTAGAGTAGTAGATTACACAAAAAATTGTAGATAACTTAAAAACTAGAAGAGATAGGTATAGGGAACCCTGATACCGTTCGAAAGAGAATAAAATTGTGTATCAGAATATAGAAAAACATACAGGGTGTTCCATTTAAAAAAAAACGACTTATGAAGGTTTAAGGTTAAGTAAACTCGGCATTAAATTTAAATTTCTAGCACCCTGTATGCAATTAAGCCACTTTGAAAGTATGTAGGAAAGCTTAGGGGTCTAGCTACCCCCCCTAGAAATATTGTTGCTTTATCTTTCTTACTATAAATTACACATGGTTTGAAGCCAGTCACTGTTTTTCTCCATTTCTTTGAAAAAAATTAAATATCTCGAAATATTAATATATGTCCAAACACCAGGGGCGTGCTGTAGGAAATTATTTTAATGGATAATATGCACGCCACTGCACATTTTTCGTTTTATGAATTTTTTGTAATCCTCGTTCATTACTTCACATAAGATATCTCTTATTACTTTTTCATTGTATTTGTAAGGTAACCAAGAAGGATTACAAAGAATACAAAATTAAATATATTAGTGGCGTGTATACCATTTTTTAGATTAACTGGTACTACTACCTACACGCACGCCTCTGGTGATGTGATTGAACTTTAGTTTACATTAAAACATGTCCTATAAAAGGCGGTCTAATAGTTCAAATTTTGAGAAATATAAAACAGGTCATTATTGATAAACTAAAAACAAAACGGAAAAACAGTTAAACTTCAATTTTGTAAGGGAGTCATTTTTGAACGCAATATGAACTTTTTTTCATAAAATAACCAACCGCACTACACCCCCACTAACACTGATTAGTTTCCAGCAAAATCAACAGTTAGGAACATTTTCTGTGAAGTTAAATATTTTTTGTTTATACCTATATTTTCGGTATCATAGAACCTTGTTTGATTTCATTTAACAGGACTTTTTAGAAGAACATTTTTTGGATTTATTTGAAGTAGCTCTACGACAGAGCAAAAATATGAGAGCAAATAATAAAATATATATTTTTTAAGCGAAATTGCTGTCTTTTATTGTTAAGGGATTCCAATGATTCCAACCTTAAGCTGTATTAAATAAAAGTCAAAGAACCACTCCAATTATGGCCGGACAGAGGTAAAATATAACAGAAAGATCACTGACGAGCATGTGATTCGAGAGAAATTACGTTTATTGTGAGATAAATTCGTGACACAATACTTTGGGAGGATATATTGCTTTGTAATTCTATTGTCAATAATATATGAGGTAAAAAAAACTGTAGGTATGAGTTGAAATGTGGAATATGTATAAAAATATGTATGGAAAATGGAAAGGTGTCAAAAATAACCAAACAGCAGTTTACTTGTTTATTTAAAAAGTTTTAGTAAAAATTTAATAGGTTGCAAGGCATTTTTCCAAGTGACTTATATGATGTAACACACAACACACGAGTGCCATACAAAATTGTATCCAACACTTTCATAGAATTTCGTTTTAATAATAAATAAAGGTAACTAATTTAACGAAATGAATATATTTTTAAATATTACAAAGGATGCGAATGTCAACTTAAATTGTGTGTGTAACCAAGGGTCGTCAGTAAACAAACAATAATTTTTGAGTTGAAATCACGTTGAAATCCTAAAACCAAAACTGAAAAAATGGAAAATGTGGAAATTCTATCTGAAATTTTAGAAAAAGCTAATGCGGCTACTGCAAGCATCATTCCCGATAAATCCAAATCTATATACAACAAAGAATTGAAGGAATTTCAATATTGGAAAATCAAAGAAGGGGAGAAAGGCGTAAATGAAGATGTCTTGCTGGCTTATTTTTTCAGTTTAAGTGAGAAATTAGCTCCATCCACATTGTGGATTAAATATTTCATATTGAAGTCAACTTTGAGAGTTTACAAGAACATTGAAATTTCTAAATTCGGAACTAGTGGCATTTCTAAAGTCTAAACACAAACATTTTCAACCAAAAAAATTACAAGGTCTTAGAAAGAGAACAATTTTTGCGTGAAGCCCTAGACAAAGGTAATCTTATGAATAAGGTAGGTTCTACTGAATAGTTTAACCGAGTTATATTTATTAAAGTTGTTTTTAGGTGGCGTTGGTACTAGGAGTTTTTGACGCTTGCCATTGCGAGGAATTGACTCATCTAAGCATGGATAATATAGAGGACAAAGAGCAGTATATCCACAGCATGATTTCAAATACTGAAACGAACAAACCAAGAAGCTTCGCTGTGTTAAATGAAGGATTTTGTGTTAATCACATTGAATTAATTAAAAAATATTCTAAGCTAAGGCCTCAAAATGCACAGTCTTTTGTCTTTTTATTATTTCTATAAGTCACTCGTGGATTATAAAACATAACTAGAGACTTATGACATATAACTCACTAGTGACTTATAGACCACATTATTCCTTTAAAACCAAATAAATTATAGTATCATTATACATATGGTGTGATATATAAGTGTTGGATAAAATTATAAAAAAAAACATGACTAAGGATTTGTTAAACAAGCGGACCTATTTCCACGTGACTTCATAGTATTCGTTGACATTTCTCAAGACAGAATTTAGGATTTATGTACGTCAAACTTTGATAAAATTTGCCTTTCTTAATTAAGAAAAAAAAATTGATCTAATGATTAAGGATTTGGTGTAATATTACCTAATATGTTTTTACAGGTAGACTTCAACTTAAACTTTTACTTTGTGGTTAAATTTCAGGAAATATCAACGTCAATATTTCTTGAAGACTATAATAAGGTAAATTAAACTTGCTATTTTTTCGTTTATTTCCATTTATATTTGAAAATAGCGGTTCTAATTACATTGTAGCAACTATGTAAGGTACGAGGATTGTCCCAAAATTAATGCACAGTTTCTTATTGAAATCCGAATCTGATGGGTCACTTCACTTCACTTCGGAGCTCTTCCACCGTCGGGAAACACCCCCCACCCCCGAAAAGTTCGATGATCAGAGCCCTGATGAACGGGCGCGCATTATCGTGCAAAATCAACACACCACTTTGCAACATCCCTGGGCTAAAGACATTCTCAAGAAAGATTCACAGTAAACCTTCCACACGCCTCTTTTAATGCGGCATAAAAACCTGACGTACTGTTTCGATGTGAGTATACGCACGTTGCCCTATTGCTGACACGACGGACTGTTCTCGTTGTCTTTTCGAGTTTTTGGAATTTTCCCTTTAAATGAATACCACTACCATATGATACCAACGCATTGTTAAGACTCCAGTCTACACAGTGACACGTTACGTTGCCTAGAACGCACGCTAGAGCGCGCTGTGCATTGCTTTTGGGACAACCCTCGTATTTTTTTAAACTGGTAAACTTAACTAATTATACCGCTTGCTGTAAAGCATTATCCATG